ATTAGAATGGGATAACTGCTAAAAGATGTACGAGAACTGCCAACACAAACCTTTTAACTCCATGATCATCATGAATATATTTGAAGAGTCAAACAAAACAAAATCAAGTTTTACAATGTTCCTACACACATGGTTAACACATTTTACGCTGATTGTCATGTTTAAAATACTTTCTCATGAATTAATTAAATTGTAGGTTTTTAATTGTTTATTTTTCCTTTGTTAAGGTACATGTGCATTTGACTATATATAACTCTGACCATGTATGAATCAAGTGTTGTGTTTATTACTGAGAGTGTAACAGCTAGGGTCTGTGTATACAGATCGTACACTCAGTATTTGGTGAGTTTCACTAGGTTAGAAGAAAGGCACAGACTTACTGAGCTAATCAGAAACATATGATTCAAACCAGACTCCATCCCTCCCAAACTGAAAGATGTTTTAATGATGTTCAAAAATTTGAGTAGTCTGCTGTAGATTTGGTGGTGAATATGTTTCCATTTATTTCACTCCAATCTGTCAAGAACCATATGGCTCCAGCAGTCCTGTGCTGGTTGTTTGATGTAGAACTCCATTAGCTTGGTACAGACTGGTGGGCTTCTTCTTGCATTGGTGATCACAAATTGAAAATTACTTACTATATTCTCCCTTTTTAAAACACAACATCCGATCAAACTAGCATAATCATTTTTGACATTTTTAGATAGTTTGAAACGTGATAAAATACACAAGTAAAAATGAGTTACCTGTGTCTAAAGATTACAAAGTAGAGTTCATGTGATAAAAGCCAGCCATGCTCGCGCTTGCATGATTGAGCTAGCTGCATACAATGAAATTGTGTATATGGATGAAGAGATACCACAGAGTACCATTGTCTCACCAAAGCTGGCTGGCTACAAAAGAAGTGTTCTCTTTCTGCGCCCAATATAGAATAGGGAAGGGAAACCTAGGTCAGCATGGTACAGCAAATAAAAAGTGCCTCCTGATTATTTTTGATAAAGGTACACAGTATTTGTGCCAGGTGGAAAATGAGTGCAGCGAAGAATGATGGATGTTTTGTAGGTCAAACAGATGTAGTCCTTATACAACAATTCTTCCTCACCAAGCAAACCTTTCTAGATCTGGTATTTCAAAAGTCTTGCCTTGATGTTGGAGGTATAATGCTGTCAAAAAAATTAGAGACAGGAAATGGATATGTACCACAGGAATGTGGCCCTGAGGCAATAGCAGTGTTCATTCTGAAAAATACACATACCTAATTGTAAAAAACATGTTGTGGCTGCTAAATGATTGATATTTTTTATGCAAATAAACTAAACCACAAAGAGTGTAAATGTTATACTGTATATATCCATACACACAATACAAGATCACATTTTATGGCATCAAGAAGTTGACAGTTGCAAGGCTTTTATCATTCATGTGACTCAACATGGGCATACCATATCTGGTAAATTTGATTAGTAAATATTTAGAATACCTTTTCTCTAGTTCAGCAATCATGTTAATGTAAAAACGATTTGTTTGACATTTAAATACTTGTAAAATGCATTTGAGAAAATCATATATGCATACACTGGATATCACTTATTCGGGGCCACCTGGCATTAATTATAATGAGGAGAACATTGCAATGAGGAAATACTTTTCTATGAACCTGGGTCAAAGGTGTATCCTTTAACAATTTTTGATTTTGCAGCATTAACATGTATATTTCAAGCTAGGAATATATTGCAAAATCAGATAAACCATCTGATTTACTGAAAAATCTGAAGGGATATACATGTATATAGTATATGTACAATATTTGTTTACATTAAACATCATTTGGTATAGATTTTGATGATCAATAAAGACCAGATTGTTGGTTAGTATTAGTAAGAATTCACTATAAAAGTGGTAATAGATTTACTCTTTAGGATGGTTGTTTTATAATGTAATGGCAATTATGATGTTAGATTTTACTTAGTCTGTATATATCAATAGTGCAATAATCTGCTGACATGTATATATCAATAGCGCAATAATCTGCTGACATGTATATCAATAGAGCAATAATCTGCTGACATGTATATCAATAGCGCAATAATCTGCTGACATGTTGCTAACCCTTTCACCCCTATGTAACTTCTATAGACTCTACCATGCATTGATCTGGATGAGACCATTATGGTTTACAGTGGTGGAAGGGTTAATTCACATGTAATTACATGGTATATATATATAGTGACACTGAATCTCAAATTACAGAAAGTGCATAAAACACAAATGATACAGGTTCCAAGTGCTTCCTTTATAATTATTTATTTATCAGATAAAATAAATGATAAAGTTTATTGCAAGTTAAACATGCACAAAACACTTAAATAAAAATTGAATATGTATCTATGATACTTGATTAACATCACGATATCACTTCCAGATAGAGTCCCACCATTTTTATGGTAAATATATGTGTAATTGAAAAGTTATTGTCCTGTTAATCCATTATGTATTATCTTTTTCATGCTGATAATTAAAGGCTGTGGGCCTTTATTGGGAGTAATAACATTTTGGAATTATTCCAAGTAATGTTTAACAAAAAGTATCATAGCAGTTCAAATGACATGAGTGGTACTGGTAGTGGGTAAGCTCCTCTAATTAATTATAATCAAGACGTTAAGGGATCAAATCATTGTGGCCCAGAATGTTTTTGTGAAATAGATAAAGGAAATAACAAAAAAGTCCCTTCTGTACCTATTCTCTTGACTATGTAACATTGGAAATGAGCAAGCAATTGCAAATGCAAGTCAGAAACGGATGAATAAAATAGAATTCTTCTTTGTTGTTGAAAAGGAGATCCTGGGATGCTACCTAAATATATGCTGTTTTTATTTGTTAGAGGAATGATGTTATTCTTTGAATGAAAGAGTGAAGTTCAGAAATTACAAGGAGCAAAATAATTAATCTGCCGGAATTGTTTAACCAACAGTCTATACCGGTAGTTGACTGGCAATGATGTAGATCAAATCTACCTCATTTTGAGATAAGTAAGTCTTCCTGTTGTACTAGTGAGGAAATTCATCTGATGAATGTTTTAGCGGAAAGAGTTGTTCACTCATGCTGCGAAAATTGTTAAAATTGGTTTGCTGCTTGCTTGTCTGACAGGGGAATTAAGATGTAGGAGGCGAGTATGCCTGGTACATCTGTACAGGGGATTTGGAGATTAGGGGGCGGGATAACTTGACACCGTCTTCATCAGCTGTCAGCTCATCACTTACATTAACAGGCTGCTAAACCAAAGTTTGTTTGGGCTAGAACACATACATCAGATACAATTCTTCTTCCCCCAAATGTTAAACAAACAGCACAGTTCTAATATAAATAGCTTTGATCAACATTGTGGGTGTTTCTGACAATAATAAACAGCATACGTCTGTCAACATTGCGGTTAAGGGAATGTGCCATTGTCTATATATGGAGTACTTGTAGTCTGGGGCATGTTGCACTTTACTGTTGCAATGTCTAACATCTCTAGCACTGAAAACAGGGAGGCTAGCTGCTGTTTGCTGTTGGTGTTGCGTTATGAATATAAACATTATGGCAGAAAAAAATTGACAGCATTCAGTAGCTCAGTGTTAATTATAGCACATTCACATACTGGTAAGGAATATCAGGATTCTTTGTTCTTTATTGAATTGACCATACAGTGTAGGTATTTATGTAGCACAGTACTTATGTACCTTGTAGGGTAAATTGTTATGATACAGGGTGCGACATATTATAAATCAGTGTCCAAGCAAGCGAACAAACAAAAAAACTTTTATATATATAATAACGGTTAAGAAAAACAGTACGAAACAAAGTAAAACAAAAACACAGCTCGATATATATATATGAAATATTTTGGCAAAAATATCAAAAAGTTGCATACAAATTAAAGCGCTCTCAGTTCCTAGATTGCTTTTGATCAAGAAAGGGGCACAATATATAACATGTAACACAGTATGTATGTAGGGTTAATTTGCAGAACTAACAGTCTATAACCCATAAACTCGGTGTTTAATATAATTTCCAATTAAATGCAAAATTAGCAATGTACAAAATGAAAGCCGTATAAAATAATTGATTGTACATGATAGGTTGCCAGTGATTCTACTTGTGCAGGGAATTCTGCTATACAAGGCAACTAACTATCAAATGATCAAACAGGGTAGATATCGTACATTGTACAAAAAAGAGGAGTAATTGATCCTACACATTGCCCATTAATATATAGTTAGATTGTAATTGATCATGTAGGGAAAGCAGCGTGGTAATTGAGTAGCATTTAAACATTAGTCATAGAAAACTATATGAAGTACTAGTGAAGACAATCAGGACACCGGTTAGAGGAGAAATGGCGAAGCCACACAATTCCTTCCACACTGTCATCAATTCATTTTAATGAGTTTTCCTGATTATCACATTAAAACCAATCTTCTTCCCTCTTGGTATAAACACCTACTCACTCTTTTTCATTTTTGACTCAGCATGTGGTCTTACATGAAATATGGCTGATTTAATTATCTGGTAATACATTGCCTTGTCCACCCACTAATAACTAATCATACTGGCTGTTGCATTTTTTTGCTCGCCACCCAAACACTCTAAGATGCTACACAGATATATAATGAATGCTATGGTGGAGACGGGCAAGTCTAATTGTTAGTATTTACCAAAGTGGGGAAAAACAGATTCCAAAACTGTCTGCTGTAATATTTTTGGCATGTTAATTTTTTGTGATTAGATCCATCAAATAAATGACTTTTCCCTGTGTTGAGTTATAAACGTCCTCTGTAATCCTAAGGAAACTAACTTGGTGTCTATTTTAGAACTTTACATCAATGTATCAACCCTGTACTGTATTTGCTCTAATGGTGATGATAACTAGGATTGAAGTTTCCCTTTATACTGTAGAAGTTTCACACTTTAATGTTGTTTGACATTGAATAGTAAGATAGGTGGTTTGCTATTTCCAGATCGTATGCAGGTATTGCTGTTCAAATGTGTGAAGGATGCTTTAAAGGGAGAGAATGCCAAGCATGACTTCTACCTGGAGGACTTCTATGGCCTGGAGACCGGCTTCAGCCAGGACAAGGAGAACAATGTCCTCGCTATCGTCTGTCAGAAACAAATCACAACCTTCGCATTTGAGAACAGAGAGACACTCATCAAATTTGAGGTCAAAATCAGAACAGCCATTGGAGAAGGTAAATCATAGTTTATTATATATATATATATAATTGTTTTCTGCAGAACTTTTAATAATAAGGTGTGTTACGGAATGGTTCATACAGCTTTCAAAGTTGAGCTCAACAATTCAATGAAAATTAATGTTGTTATGAGTCTGACACGAAGATGAATTTTGATTGATGGAAAGTTAAGACTGATTTTCACCAAAACCTTTGCTGTAAGGTGTGTTTTGGAATCGTACATATACATGTACATGTATACTTACTGCAGGTTTCTTTTAAACATGAACCTTGTCTGCATAAAAAAAATAGCATTACAGCAGACAGCCTAATTCTGATTGGTTGGTAGTTTCCAAAGGCTAGCAAGTGGTTGATAGTTTCCAAAGGCTAGCAAGTGGTTGATAGTTTCCAAAGGCTAGCTTGCATTGAATATATCTATGGAACTTTTCCCAATTTAGTCAATTTGTGTTTTCAGGTGAGCTCCCTCTCTTCCTCTCCCCCTCTCCCTCCCTTCCTCTCCCTCTCCCTCTCTCCCTCTCTTCCTATCTCCCTCTCCCTCTCCCCCTCTCCCTCTCCTTCTCTTCCTCTCCCTCTATTCCTCTTTCCCTCTCCCTCTCTTCCTCTCTCCCTTTCCCTCTCCCTCTCTTCCTCTCTCCATCTCCCTATCTTCCTCTCCCTCCCTTCCTCTCCCTCTCCCTCTCTCCTTCTCTTCCTCTCTGTCTCTTCCTCTCTCCATCTCCCTATCTTCTTCTCTCCCTCTCTTCCTCTCCCCCTCTCCCTCGCCCCCTCTCCCTCTCTCCATCTTCCTCTCCCTCTCCCCCTCTCCCTCTCCCCCTCTCCCTCTCCCTCTCTTCCTCTCTCCCTCTCCCTCTCTTCCTCTTTCCTCTCTCCTTCTCCCTCTCTTCTTCTCTTCCTCTCTCCCTTTCCCTCTCTTCCTCTCCCCCTCTCCCTCTTTCCCTCTCCCTCTCTTCCTCTCCCTCTCCCTCTCCCTCTCTTTCTATAAATAACTCTAGTTAATGTCTTGATAATAGAAGTGAAACATACAAAAACATCGTTTCCTATTGACAAATGGGGACATATGGATTACCACATTACTTTGCTGTAACATAAACACTACCCAAAAATAGTTTAATTTTTGTTACTCTTTGAGAGACAAGTTATCCTTACTTACTACATTGAAATTATGCTCCAATTTACATGATGATTATGTTAACAATTGGACAATGATACGGTATATATCATACTGTATTTGCCAGTGTTATTTAGCTAATGTACATGTATTGCCATTGTCACATGATTCTTGTATTTCAGAGAACCAGTTCCCATTACATGTACACCTCAAAAGAGTGCCTCCCCAGAGCAAGTTGCCATTGGAGAAGATGCGGATGCACATCCACGGACCTAAGTTCTGTCTCACTCAGCACAGTCCTCCAAAAATGTTGGCCTCCTGGGTCATCTCAGATCTTCGCAAGTTTGGGAAACTTGAGGGAAAGTTTGTGTTTGAGGGTGGATCTAGATGTGGAAAAGGTTTGCTGTGCTAATTACTCTATATTTTGTGTTGTTTGAATATTGTGATACAATTTTCTTGGTTGTTGGTGATCATTGAAATATGACTTTTGGTAATTTTTGATCTTATAACGTACTGCAATTCTCTTAGCTGGAAGTCAGTTATTTTATTTGAGCATTGATGTAGAAATGTTTTTCATTGTGTTGCTTCTAACCTAACTTTCTCTGTAGTAACATGTTTGTTAATTGTGACAGGAGCTGGGGTACACGTTCTACAGAGTGACCAGGTAGATGACTTAGAAGAGATTTTCCAATTAGCCAGCCAGGGCAAAACAGTCAGTGGTCGAAAATCAAACAAACGCAGTAAGTTTGTCTTTAATTAATAGTAAAAATACACAAGAATTACTCACTTTATTTGGCAAGATTTTTGATTATATTATTGATTTTCCATGAACCCTTTTAGGAATATGACGATAATTGTGTGTTAGAAACTGCAAGTGTCTCAATAAGACCAAGAAAATGTATGTACATGGTACTTGGTAAATGCTCCAACATCAGGTACATTATATATATATATATATATGTACTTACAAAAGATCAGTTTAGGTGATATTAAAGAACATTAAAAGATCATCATCTATATGTTTAACAGGTAAGGTGAAAAGTACAAGTTTACTGAGGTAGTTTAACACGCATGTTATAACATGCGTGTTAACAGGTGTGTTAACAGAGTTATTGTAGTATTGGATGGGGGTTACAGAAATTCATATTAGATGGGTTGTAATGATTGCTATGCTATGTCATAAAAAGAGAGGGAGATAATTTGTGGTTGTTGATGGGGGACATAAAGTATTGCTTTATTTTCCAAAATAACCACACCCCC